AGAACACTATGGCAGAATAAACACATCACCACTCAAGGGTATCGTTATCTTCTTCTGAAGCCTATCATTGTCCATCACACACACATTTCCATAGAACTAAGCAGTAACCTAAACTTTGTGTTATAAGATAGACTAAACATGGTTTCACTAGAGAGAAAAGTTAAGCAAATCACTTGATGCCTAAATCAAACAGAAACACAAAGGAAATTTAGGTTCTTTATATATGGTGTGAACGTTTTTTATAACTTTTTTGAAAACTTCATAACTATTTAAAACTACATGCTAGGCACTATAATATATACACTAAAAGAAGCCCCATTTTTAAAGATGAGGAAACTAAGATTTAAGGGACATTAAATAATCTTGCTGATTCTAAAATTCATTTCTGAAAAGAAATAGGCAAGTTCAAGAATAGCCAAGGCAATTCTGAAAAAGAGCAACTTTCCTTCTCAGCTATCAAAATGCACTAGAAAGCTGTATTAAATAAACCATGCGATATTGGCCCAGGAATAGACAAATAGCTCAATGGAATAAAAAGGAGCCCAGAAAAAGATATAAATACACACACACACACACACACACACACACACACACGGAAATCCAGTATATGATAAAGGCAGCATTTCAAATCTGTGAAAAAAGGATGAACTAACAAATACATAGGTAAGTGGTAGTTCTACTGCTTACTAACTGTGACCTAGGTCTTACTTAACTTCCCTGTGCTTCAGTTCCCTCATCTGTAAAAACAAAGATAATATGCTTGAATGAAGTAGCTCACTAACAATACAAATTTAGCACTGCCTGACATGAAGTACTTTCTCAGTAACACACAAACCAGAGGGGCAAGAGGAAGAGGAGGAGGAGGAGTGACATATTGGTAGAAATGGTGGTGTTGCAGCAGGTAAGTGTAAAAGTGAAATCCAGTGTGTATCTGATGCCAGTCAGAAAGATAAATCCCTGACAAAGAGCTACATTTAAAATGTTAAAGCATTTTAAAAAGTTACGTGAAAACAGGCCAAGGCACAGAGGCTCACATCTGTATTCCCAGCATTTTGGGAGGCTGAGGCAGGCGGATCACCTGAGGTCAGGAGTTCAAGACCAGCCTGGCCAACATGGCGAAATCTCGTCTCTACTAAAAATACAAAAATTAGCCAGGCATGGTGCCACACCCATGCCTGGAGTCCCAGTTACTCGAGAGGCTAACACAGAAAAATCCCTTGAAGCCAGGAGGCAGAGGTTATAGTGAACTGAGATTGCACCACTGCACTCCAGCCTGGGTAACAGAGCAAAACTCCATATCAGAAAAAAAAAAGTTAGGAGAAAACAAAAATATATATATTTTTGAATCTTGGGGTTAGAAAGGGCTAATTAATCAATAAGATGAAAAAAAAAAAAAAAAAAAAAAAAGAAAAAAAAAAAAAAAAAAAGAAAGAAAAAAAAAAAAAAAAAAAAAAAAAGAGAGAAAAAAAAAAGAAAGAAACCAAAAGAAAAATGCTGACAAATCTCATTATATCAAAACCTAAAATTTTGTACAACAAAGTATTTTCAACATAAGGGATAAGGATAAAAATCTAGGGTTCAGTTGGCCCTCGTATCCATGGCAGATGCTCAAGCAGAGGGGAGATGTATTCAACCAACCATAGACCAAAAATATTTGGGAAATAAAAAATGAATAATTGTGTCTATACTGAACATACACAGATTGTTCTGGGCATTATTCCCTAATACAGTATAACAACTATTTACATAGTATTTACATTGTATTATGTACTATAAGTAATCTAGATTTAAAGTATACAGGAAGAGATGTGTGGGTTATATGCAAATACTATGCCATTTTATATAAGGGACTTGAACACCCATGAATTTTAGTATCTCAAGGAGTCCTGGAACAAAACCCCTACAGATCCAAGAGTGACTATATATCAATAACTCTTAACAAAGAAAAAAGTCAACAAAAGAGTAACAATATGCAAACACGCTCAACTTCACTAGAAACTGAGGATATGTAAATTAAAATGAGATACAATTTCACTAACAGATGGATAAAAATTTAAGGCATTGATACTATCAAGTATTGGCAATGGGGTGGAAAATGGGAAATCTCATAATGTTTGGTGGGAGCATAAACTGATATGGCCTTTGGATGAGCAGCCAGGCAGTTTAAATTGTAAATATGTCAAAAATAAAAAAATAGATTTTAAATACATCTCCCCTCTGCTTGAGCATCTGCTCATAGGTACCAAGCCTAGAGAGATACACATACACACAAGGCACCAGTATTCAGGCATGCTTACTCTCGGCATGGATCTCTTATGCTTAAATATGGCAAATTCATAACAGGAAATGCTAGGAGTAAATATTTTTTAAAAGGTGGTTCTAAATGAGTGGCCTTCAACCCTTAGGTACACTTCAGAATTGCCTGGAGCTTTTAAAAAATTAGAATTCCAGGGCCCTAACTTCAGAAATTCAGATTTCATTTGTCTAGGAAGAGGAAATGTGATGGTAATTTTAAAAAGCTCCCAGGTGGTACCAATAAGAAGTCAGGACTGAAAGCTAGTGATTTATCTATACTGACTTGGAAAGTTCTCCAAGGCAGTAAGTTAAAAACGAAAATAGAACCATAGGACCATATACGCAGTATACTATTTAATGTGTTTTTTAAAAATCATATTATATATACAGGCACATAAGTGTCTTGAATCATATACGCCAAGCTGATGACAATGTTTACTTCTTAGAAGGGAAAGTGGAGAATTTCGGGGTTTGGGGTGGTTAGTCCAGATCTAGGGAAACATGGACTCATCTGAATTGCTTAATTTCTTTAGAGAATGCATTCATTGCTTATGTTATCAAAAATAAAAGACAAATTTTTAAAGAACAGCATAAGCTAACAAAATACTACTGACTTACTCGAATATTAAGAAAAGCTAATTCAATCATGACATGGTATACCTGACACCTCCTAATTTAATTAGGCAACTGACATATTTACTTAAGCTTCATTTCCAAGTTTAAACAACAAAGTGGATCAAATTTCAAAATCCTAAAAATCGAATTTTACTTGCTTGAAATATATAGCAACTGCTCTTCTAAGTGTTCTCAGAAGCTGAAGGGTCTTGCACATTGCCTTATTAATAATTTACTGCAGTGATCCTCAATGCCCATCCCACCATCATCACTGCCCCGTATCTCATCTTGCACTCAGTACCACAGTCACCAACTTTCAGTAGAATTTTACAAAGAAACAACCCAGTGCTTTAAGAAAAAAAGACTTATTTTTATAAATAAGGGGAAAAAAAGAAAATGGTAAAGGAAGACTAGCTTGCATGATAAGCAAGTACCACTCACTCTCTGCCTTCCCAAACCACTGTATGACAGAAACAGCTCGCTGCCTGCCACACTCCCATATGCCCCTCCCTATGTCACTCACAGAGCCCCTGTTTTAGCAGGAGATCACTATGCACTAGGATTTTAAAAATATACATATATATATATACATTTCCCAGCCTCTACTGCAGACAGGGCAGCCAAGTGACACAGTCCTGGTCACTAATGTATAGTTGACCCTTGAGCAACATGGGTTTGAATTGCAAAGGTCTCCTTAAACAGATTTTCTTCCACCTCTGTCAACTCCTGAGATAGCAAGACCACCCTTCTCTCCCTCCTGCTCAGCCTATTGATGATCCACTTCCACTTAATGAATAGAAAATATATTTTATCTTCCTTATCATTTTCTTTTCTCTAGCTTACTTCATTACAGGAATATAGTGAATACACATATAATAAAATATGTGGCCGGGTATTGTGGCTCACGCCTGTGATCCCAGAAGTTTGGGAGGCCAAGGTGGGTGGATCACTTGAGGTCAGGAGTTCGAGACCAGCCTGGCCAACATTTGTAGTGAAACCCCGTCTCTACTACAAAAAAACACAAAAACTAGCCAAGTGTGGTGGCAGGCACCTGTAATTCCAGCTACTTGGGAGACTAAGGCAGGACAATCACTTGAACCCAGGAGGCAGAGGTTGCAGTGAGCCAAGATTATGCCATTGTACTGCAGCCTGGGTGACAGCATAAGACTCCATCTCAAAAAAACAAAAACGGAAACAAAATGTACAAAATATGTGTTAAGCAACCATTTATGTTATCAGTAAGGCTTCCAGTCAACAATAGATTATTAATAGGGTTTGGGGGAGTCAAAAGTTATATGCAGAGTATCAACTATGCTGGGTTTGGGTCAGTTCTCCTAACCCTACACTGCTCAAAGATCAACTGTACATGCAGAGGGAAGGCCTAATAGGCCACAGACTTGGATGGCTTGTCCCTCTTACTCCTTTGCTTTTATCCTTGCCTTCCCTTTCCTCCTGCCCAGAACACAGATGTCATGGCCACTGGTCCAAGAGGCACCTTGTGAGCACAAGTGGAAAGATCATGCCTACAAACGCTGGAGCCAAATGGCAGGCGTCTGCAGCCCTGTCCACACTGTGGTTCTGCAGCACCAGCTCGGCACTGCCTAACTTCTTGGCTTCTGGTATTTGGGCTTCCCATTATACACAGTCAAATGAAAACCTTAACTTTTACAGAGGAATTACTCCAGAGCAGCGGATTCTAGACCAGAATATGGAATACACAGGAATTACTCCAGAGCAGCGGATTCTAGACCAGAATAAGGAATACTATAGAGCGGGACTGGCCATCTATGGCCTGCAGCAGGGCAAATCCAGCCAGGAACATTCTTTTATGCATTGTCTAAGGTTGCTTTTGTACAACAACGGCAGTTAAGTGGTTACAATAGAGACCATCTGGCCCACCAAGCTGGAAATATTTACAGATTATTCAACCTTTTAAAGAAAACATTTGCTGAGTCCTACTACAAAGGGTTATTCATAATTATAACGGCACCAGGAGGTAAAATACTCCCTGAAGACTCCCACTACCATTGTTCACTCTTCAATAGTGCCCCCCGCACCCAAAACAAAAACAAAAACAAAAACCCCCTCACCAGCTGGGGTAAAGAATCCCGGTACTTGGTATTTAATTGGTTCACAAAGCATCGGATGATCCAGTAACAGTCGACACTATCTTCCACCATTTCCTCCATGGCTTTAGCTATGGCAAGAAATGCTTCATCTTCTGGCTCCTGAAAGATTAATAATAAATCTCAAGAGGAAGGCAGTGAAAGAGAGGAATACGTGTTTCTTCAATAAAAAATGAAATCTTGCTCCCTAAATTTTGAAAAGGCTGCATTAATAAATCAAAGTGGGATCAAAAAGCACAGAGTCCACCCCTGAAGAGGGGAGCAAGGGGGAGAAAAGGATGAGTAACCACAGGATCAGTGCTGCTTATGAATGACCAGGTTTCTATACAGACTCTCCAGCTTCTAATGTTAAGCCCATCACAGAGTCTGCATAAATTATAAGCAAGTCACTGGCTCCCTCCACCCAAAAATATTCTCAGCACAAGGTGAGAATGTATTTGAAAAGGGTGTAATAAATAGCACCAAGAGTAACTGGAGACACTTTTCAGCACAGTAATTCGAAAATATTGAAGAACTCCAAAAAGACTTTTTAAAGCATTTGATTTCAAAGCATTCATGCATACCTTTAGAATTTTGTTCTAGCTTAAGCAGCAAAAATTTAAAATGTTCCTAGAATCAGAATTTTAGGAATCAAAAGAATGGCATTTCTCAAACCTTGTGTCAATACTCAGAATGTGAAAGTAAACTCTCAGGTAAATTTCAACAGAGAAATCTTAGAAAAACTGGAACCTTATCTGAAAGCCTCTTGTCTTCAAACACCATACCACATACAAAAAGCTTTATATTTTCATCTAGGATTTAACAGCTGAAGAATTTTAAAATTAAAAAGAAACTAAGAAGTATCATAGTTTCCCCTAGAAAGTACTGAGTTAAATCAAAACTCTTATTTTAATGTATTATTTCATTCTAAGCCCTTCTTTCAACTTGTTAATATTCTATAAAATGTCAAGAAAAACAGAATTACAATCACTGGAAATAAATTTTCTCTTAAGCATCGTATTAATGTGTCAGAAGAGAATAGAAAACAAGCAGAAGAAAAGGGAAAGGAAAACCTCCTTTCTTGGACTCCCTTGCAGTCCTGCTCACTGTGCTTGGCACCCCCAAAGGTGGCATGTCACTGACTGCTCCTGACTACTGACAGGTCAAGGGAAGAGGACCAAGTCCTTCCTGGCCCTGTGCTGAGCACTGCCGCACACTCTTACTGACAGATTAAAAAATGAAGCAGAGTGGGCACTAAGTGGGTGCTATTGTTCAAATATCTGTCCCCTCCAAAACTTATATTGAAATTCAATCCCCAATGTGGCAGTACTGAGAAGTGGAGCCTTTATGAGGTGACTGGATCATGAGGGCTCTGCCTTCATCTTTGGGTCAATTAATAGATTAATGGGTTATCACAGGAATGGGGCTGGTGGCTCCCTAAGGAGAGGAAGAGAGTCCTGGGTAAGCATGTTGGCACATTCGGCACCCTTGCCATGTGACAACCTGTGCCATCTCAGGGCCCTGCAGAGAGTCCTCATCAGCAAGAAGGCCCTCATCAGATGTAGCCCCTGCATCCTGGACTTCCCAGCTGCTAGAATTGTAAGAAATAAATTCCTTTTCTTTATAAATTATCACATTTCAGGTACACCGTTATAAGCAACCAAAAAAAGACTAACACAATGGGGCTCATGACTGTGGAGATGTGGGGCCGCAGAGCCTAAAACACACATTCACAAGCATGCCTGCCTGAGGCCACAGTAAAGGTGTCTCAGCTTGGAACACAGACAAGCTGAGGAGCGATGAGGGGAACCTATACCCTATCATCTCCATTCCTTGAACTAACAGATTATCTAATTTAATTTGATATGTAATTTAAGATCTTGTGTAGTACTATCAACTTCACTTTGCCAGTAAGTGAAATGTAAAGAAGACTGCTTAAATTATTCCAATTATTTTTAGGGACCTTCTCTCTCTTGATAAATGTAATAAATATAAATGATCTTTGTTGGCTCTAAAGTTTGTCCGTGGATACCCCATCATTAACTAAACAAAAAAAAAAAAAGGATCTGCAATAAAAATAAATTTTGTAAAACAG